TGACAATAACCGTCATTATATAAAAAAGGAAACAAAAAGCCACCAAACGTGTGGCAAAATGTATGTTACTAAGTGTAAAAGATTAGTCCAGATATTTTAGTATCGTACTTATTGAAAGGGATTTAACGGTAAGACCGCAAAGCTGCATTCCACTTCTAATGGACAACTATCTATAATAAAGCAGGATTGATGAAATGGCTAATGAAAAAAGAAAATGAGTTGAGGTAGAGATTACAATACTGGGTGATTTAGGTAGTAGATAGTTATTTTCTAGATAGGTTTAGATGTTATTATCAACACAACCTGATAACTATAAATATACACTAGGCTGACAGTTGAACACTCATTTCATGGTCAAATCAAAGAGTAATTTGTAAAGATGACACGCGAAGATGATTAAATTCTCAAGTGATCATTAAGAAAAGAGCTGTTCTTTTCTTGAACTTTTTTTTAAAAGTTCGCTGCAAATGCTACAGACCTCAATTATCATTCTATATAAACAAAACTTTGATATAATATAATTATATTTATGCAATGGTAAATTTTTTTTATATTGGCCAGTGGTTTTAGCCCACTATCCTTCGATTTCCTACAGGCATCATTAAGTTGCACAACCTGCAGCACACGGCTTATTGTTTCATAAGAACCTCTGAAAAGTTTTTTCCATGCAACTAAGACCAGCATCACTTATAAGGGGTAACCGTAATGTAAAATCCAAAAGTATGGATTGGTAAATTGTGGGATAGTGCACTACTAAAATATATCATATATCTTTTGAAAACGTCCTCGCTAAAAATAGGGAGCATTTTGATTGTTTCCATTAGTATCAAGTAGTTCAAGCCAGGCTTATCATAATGATGTGTAAGACAGGAAACAATATGGAGCTTTGTATAAATATCAGTGAAATGTAATTCATGTTGTCAGATTTCAAGAAACACGTGAGGTTTCAATATTTCAAATCTGAAATTACATCTATTTCAGTACAATTCCGATATGTTTCATTTTCAGTCTAAATAGAAGGGACAAGATTATTACAGAATTTTCTGAGACTTGAAGGGTAATTTACAGATACAGAAATGACAAAAACTGCATAGGATAGAAAATATTTGATTAATATGGTGTCGGGAATCTACCTATTGTAAGACTGGATGAAATCATCAGTTGGTACTGTAGTGCTATTCGTATCACATTTCGCAGTTCCTGAATCTGCCTGTCGACGTTAATGTCCTTGAAGCAGGTACAGATGAACAGGTAGTGTTGGGCTACCAATTGGGAAACTAAAGGCCAACTGTGAAAAGTATTGAATCGGTGTTAAATCTAGTGCGATACAGCTAACTGATTTACTAGATAAATCACTGTCGCGAATTATCATCTGTACATAGGCGTGGTCACACTGTCAGTTAAAAGAGGGTCGACTGTAACCCAATGAACTATTTTGTAATAGGGGCCGAATAAAATGAAATTCTAACTTCACTGTACCAAATTGGGCCAATGGCGACGTAGGGCATATAACGTCATGCAAAGCCTATGGACAGTGGCACAAGTCTATTCTCTTTTGATTTCGAACCGTCGAGCTATCTTTTACAAGCACACGGAGCCTTATTGTCCAATTCAAACTTCTGGACGCTTTTACCATGTCAGTCAGTGGCAAAGTGGAAAACGGGTTGTAAATTCTGAAGGTATATCTCAACCTTCGCCTGAACATTCAGGTGAGTGATCATTTGTCCAATTCACGGGGCCGTCACGGCCTATACTTGAGTCCAAAAATCAAACATGAAATGAATTTCAAAGCATGGCGTCAGCGGATTCTGTACAGCATATGGGATATTTGACTCATTCCAGCACACGACACGATTGAAACGTGATTGATTTCGATCATTTATAACATTTAATTGTTAGTTAGGACTACTCACGTAAGAAGGAAAATATAATGCTGAAGCTCATAAGGCAGTCAGTATGTGTTTTAGTAAAACAAAATCAGATAACGATTTGATTCTTTTTAATATTGGGTTGTTTATAATGTTATTAGATGCTCGCGGCATTGTGGTAATGAGTTATTGTATTTATAAAAAAATACTTGAACTTTTCATGTGTTGGAAGCCATACCATAACATTTCTCAAGTTTCATATAATTATGAACAAACAATTACATATTGAGAACATTTATAACAATTTGTGTTATTCCATCGCCATCTTTGCACTCTATGAACCAATGTTTAATGTTGAAATCTTTGCTAATATTTGAGCTTGAAATTGATGCTCAACATTTGCTAGTTATCTTTCAAGACGAATCCCCCAAAAAACCTTTTTATAGGACCTGAAGGTGCGAATACTGTTATAAGTGAGTCCCAAAGATTTTGACTTGAGGAAACTAGTAGAGATCTCATAGTATTACAACAAAAAATTACAAGATATAGATTTTTAAGGTATTACAGACTTCCAGGAACATAGTGTGAGGCTAATTTATCTCTTATATAAGATATGATAGAATCTAATGATTCTAGTAATAGTATCATGCCATTACACTTGATTCTCTACAGGTGTTGTATATATAATATACGTAAACTATCTCCGACTACACACTGCTAGTTTAATTGGAGTTTACATTAAACACAGTTCCCACTATCGTTAAAAATTTGCTGATTTCAACATCCGTCCGGATCCTAAATATTCTATGGATTCCTAATGACCTCCAATTTCCATACCTTCATTTGAGTTTGAAACATTGCCGATTTGTATTCGCCTATATTGCAATTGCGATAATATCATAAACCGACACCCTACGCATTGCAGAGTAGCCTGCTGAGTCATATCCTTTAAAGAGACAGATGCGCCATTTTTTAGACCAATCGTACCTCGCAAGCCTCGTAAGCTAAACTTTTTTTGAGCTAAGTTAAATAGTAATAGGGTTCAAAGCTTACCGTCGAAATTTGAGCCTTCGAAACCACGTGTTTACAGATTTATCCGCGTTAGAATGTTAAAATTATGCCTCGCCTCGAAATCGTGCAATTTTCTTAAATTTCTAGTACTTCTGAGGACTATTTACATATTACATTCAACACTAAAATCAAACCCCAAAAATGGCACATCTGTCCCTTTAAATTCAGTATTTCTTTAGAGTATATGAAATGTGCAATAAATATTGGCCAAGAAAGTGTGCCTATATGATAATACATGACTTATCCCTGTTTATAGGTTCGATTAAGTAGACTATGCCAGATTTATCTTTATAAAAAAGACCAGAACACCAATGTACATAGCTCTGAACATGTTTTTACAAACTGATAGGTCAAGTTTACATGTTTAACAATTTGACCTGACCTGCACGATTCCTGATTTGTCTGTGTATCCTTGACTACACGTTAGACATTCCAAACATCCGTTAGAACTCTTCAACATAGTTTACAGTGGTGTTTATTTCATGGCACAGGTACCATAGATTTAATCACACAGATTAAAACTTCATGAGTTGTGAGCAATAATTTGTCTGTTACGTCTAGACACCCAAATTATCTGTTTTATGGTCAGATACAGCCTTCAAAGAGCTTAACAATGGTAACATATCTTGTTCATCGGAGCCTACTTGCCATATCGTTCAGAAATGTATATCACCAAATACCAAGGTTGCAATGAATGTCTGTTGGTTCAGACACGTCTATCTTTAATATCGTGTAATATAAGCCCTCTATCATTACATATTATCTGCCATGTTTCCCTATTTAGTTCATTCATTAATATCGTGACAGTTAATCTAATAATGATGCAATGGATTATATTTTCCAGTTGGGATGTTGGATCAATGTCAACCTACCCTACAAATATCCTTGGTAAATATTCCACACCCATTCTTTACCAACTTGTAATTACCTGCAACACTCATTAAACGGCACCAAACTTGCCTGTGAGAAGGCCTATTTCGAAATTTGCAGGATGAGTACGCATATATGCATATTTATATTATCACTGAACCCAACCCGCAGTGCTAATAGGCTAATTACTTTACGTCAGTATGTAGTTCACCTGTACTCTTACCACATCATATGAACACTAAATTATTGTAGGATTATATTGTATTATTCTCAACTACGCTCATTAAAACACTCATAAAATTCCATAGTTTAATTACCAAGCAATGCAACCTTATATCGACATATTAATGTTGGGTTTTCAAGTAATGTTTTTTTTTAAAAATTATTATTTAAACTCACTGGTTCAGTATGAGACTCATGCGACAACAATTATGAGAACGTTTCATAATGACTACACGTGTGTTTATAGGAGAACTTCATTGTTGAGGTTATCAATAGATGCATGTAAAGGGTTCTAAAAATAATATTGCGCTATGAACATCTTTGTGTAGTGGACACGAACTGTTAATGACCATATTTATTGCTTCATATAACCAATATAGTACAAATGCACGTTTGTTTCCTACTATTTTATGAGTCTTTGTTGTCACTGTTGTTAAACTACTTTTATAAATACATGTATTATTTCAAGCAACGAATTGTGATGCATTAATGAAATTGCTTAAGATATACAAATGTGATTTTTGGTTGTGATTGAGTATTCAGTGGTTTTTAGATTTCGAGTTAATGTTTTTGTGAAAACCCCGGTAAGTATGTGTATTAAGTTTGCTGAGAGAATGACTAATAGTGATATTTCGATAGGAAAAGATCAGTCAATATCTGGAGGGAATTAATAATTCATCTGCCATAACTTATCCCCCAGTGTGGGACTGACTAACCGGATGTTCATCTAAAGAGCTTGACGTCGCATACCCCCTCCCATTCTCCTCGACTCTTCACGGGTCTGTATTGTAGATTTGTTTACGTTAACAGTGTTTATCTCTGTGCTTGCCCAAATCATATCAATATGATAATAATATGGTTTTTTTTTTCATCGGTAAAAGGCAAATTTAGCCAGATTGTCGATGAAATACATTACAAACACTGTGAGACGCCAGCTGTATAAAGAATCAAAAATGAAATATCCCTTACCTGTCTCCATAGCAACGAGGGGAAGTAGTTAGCCAAGAAGGCCGAAACCGCCAAATGTGCCACAGGTAACAATATTCCAATTACTGCAGCTATCAGTGTTCGTAAAGGCATTAAAGAATAAATCATGAATATGACGTAAACGGTTTCCCATACACCGTCTGCAGGATGGTAATGAACTGGAGGCATGTCCGGCAGAATTATTCCGAAATCCGTCGGGAAAGAAAATATCGAAAATCCAATGAGAAATAGCAATAAAATGTAACATATTAACGAGAAATGAGATTCTTTCATGAATTTTGTGTGAATAAAAATAAACACTATAATAAAGAAGACACATTGCACTGAAAGATATAGGCCTAGCACTGTTAAAGTTTTGGAGAAAAAAAAATTGAGAATAGATAAGCATAATGTTAGTACAATAAATAAAGCCAGCATATACACAACACTGGACTGTTGGAGTTTATAAACATAGCGATTATACAAACGTTCTAATTCGTCACAATCGAAATGATACCGACTTAAAATACGACAAAATTTTGGCTTTTTAGCCCGCTTTAACATAGGCGTATTTTCCATGGCGGTTTCCATTTATAAGCCGTACTGATACGACGATTCACACTAATACGTCTGGATCTATTGCTTTAAATACACCAATGGTTCCGAAAAATCCATTTGTGGCATGTTTAAAACTTGTTTCCATTCAACACGAGACACAAAGGCTATCCCAATTTAAATAGATCAAAATTTAACAGGTCTGTAGACGAGAAGACTGAATAAACATTATATCCTGTGGTTTGCCCGTTTTCATTCCATTTAAATGTTGAATAAATTCACAGTGATGCAGTCCACAGGCATTTAACTATTCCACTGTACGTAGTTGAGGTATTCGATACTAGTATGTTGAGTGTATACCCCATTATAAATACCCTAGCCACACATTCCACGAACTTCTGCTGCTTCCAATAGCAGACGATAACACGTGACGTCACAAAAGATACTCGTGAAGTTTACACTTCAAGACAACATTGCAATGAACTCTTTCAAATCTATATTGGTGTATCCGCTTGTAAAATCTATTTCTGTTGTAAGTGGAGCTCTTGCTACATCGCTTTCAGATAAGCCGGTCACGATACGTCTTAAGCCTATAATGGTGTCCAAAGAAAAGGCACAGGGAAATCCTTATCACACGCACAAATCACGAAATGCTCCCTCTCTCATTCTGATTGACTGGTCAGTGGGTATCAATCGACTCAAATGACCCTTGTCCGGTTATTAAAAGCAGCGTTCTATTGTATTACCTCCGCCTATTAACACCTCGCTACAGATAATCGCAATGCCTCACTGATATTGAAAAGAAATAAACGGACAAAGTATATGTATTTTATTGATGAAAGTATTAACTACTTTTCCTTGAGGGGCTCATTGAATCAACCAGCCATCTGTATTCATTCTAAGAAAACTATCAACCGAACCTGCATAATATAGTCTACCTACCTCTGGGTTCATTATATACACTGATCTTTGGGGAAAAGTGTGCCCATTTCACATTACACTGCAATTTTTAAATAGACCGAAACATCTGTCTCTATTTTAGAGTCTGATAGTTATTTGTTGGCTGGTGTAATAGGCTCTGTTAAATGAAGACTTCCCGCATCTTAACAAGTGTGGGGGTTTTAAACCTATTTAGATACCTCGGATCTACAAAACCCGGATATATTTGGATGATGAATACTATCATTTCTCCTAACACCATTTAGGTGGTGACTTGAGTTTCATCACGAAACTGATCTCACATCGACTATTTAAAACTGCATGCACAGCCAAAAATTCAAAGGTCACAGAGTCACGTGATAAAACGAAAGTCACGGTGATGCCCAACACTAAGTTACAGTCATCGTAAAGGTAATTTAATATTATGTTAGAAAGAAAAAGCATTTTCGGAGGTGGGGAAATCCACATTTAACGAGGCCTATTTTTTTTTTACTCTACTCCAGCCAGCAACCTTTCCATGAGAGGCTGGAATTGAGTCAGGTGTTTCGGACTAGTTTTTTAATAACTATAACATAGTTAATAGTTAAAGGGACAATGCGCCATTTTCGGGGGTTGATTAGGGTCTTGAATATATGTAAATAGTCTTCATATAAAATAGAAATGTACGAAAATTGCATAATTCCTTCAAAAATACCTCACTTAATATTTCCATACACATCATTCTATGTAGGATAAATAAAGTTTAAAATGCGGCAAAAGAAAAGCGGGAAATTATTTGAGATGTCAGATAAAAATGTAATTTACCTAATTTCTTTTGTAGATTAGCAATATCTGCCTGAGTAGGACAACAAGAACTTTAAGAGTAAATGCTTTCTCCAATTAAAGGTTGAAAACGATAATTCATCCAACAATCTATTAACATAAAGTTATAGTAATGACAGAACCCCGCACATTTGTACACACACGCATTTATACAAATTGTCTATAAGGTGTCTTCCAAAGATCGTATAGTTTCAGGGGTAATCCATTATGCCAAACGGAATCAAATGCTTTAGAATAGTAGAAAAAATATTCTCTTGAACTTGGCGGACGGGACAAAGCTGGTCTAGCCACTTTTTTGATGGCTCAGTGTCAAGGGTAAAGGTAACAAATATGCAGAATAAAAGATTGTACGCATTAATGTTGTCCGAATGCCAAGGGGAGGTAAGCTAACTCTTCTTCTTTAGAAAGTAAGAAGATGATTACTTCCGGAGAGCTGGCGCGAGAAGAGCAAAAGAACGTATTTTCCTGAATTATTTTTTTTATTTTTCCAAATGTTTAATTCAGTTTCTGAAAAATTTCGTTCATACATATTTCCAACTAACCGTGGAAGTCAAGAATCTGCTGTCAACAGTGTTGATTCCAATTCTAGAAAGAGAAAACGTCGAGAATTAGACACGTGAGTAATCTCATAATAAATAATGACCTGCTTACTACCGGTACTTACTATTATTTATGTATTGTCTTGTTGTTTTGCTGGTAAATCTATGATGAAATATGATTTTTGTCTGATTATTTATAATTCAATGATGAACTTAAATGATGGTCTTGGTTGACTAATTTCTATTACGATGGACCAGGATACCTATACCAAAAAAAAAGAAATAGATTTAGGTCTACATTTAATTTTGTATTCTGTCTACACCACACTTTTTAGTCTTTGTAGTATTAATGTGTATTTTTTTCTAGGGGTGAAGATTCGGATGTAGAAATAGTTGCGGTGAAAAGACCTAAGCAAGGAGTCAGTCGTGGTGAGAATTTTTGTTACATTTATGCATCAACTTCACATCAGCTTTAAGCTTAATCAGTAAGGATGAAACATTAAGCACTTTCTGTAAAGGTTTATACGAAAGTTATTAATCGAAACTGTACAATTTAAACGGATTGTGACGATTTTTCAATAGACTTGACCTATTTATTCATTTTAATTTAATTCGGTTACAGTGTCAAAATTGCTAATAATACTAAAATTACTTCAAAGTCGAAATGCAAAAGTAAAACATCACGTTTCTATGAAAATTCTATTCACATCATGTTATATTGTAAGACAGAGGGAATAAAGTTTAAGAATTTTGACTCAGCTGTGTTTTTCTGCCATTTTTTTTTTGACACTTTATTGGCTAAAATAAATCGAAAGTAGACCTATGACACCTATGATATTATCTTTATAACATTTAACAATGTATTTGATGTTTTCTTTTCAGTTTTCAACATATTCTCTTTACCAGTAAATAAAATGACTTCTTGGTTTCGTGGAAAATCAATGTTCTCAAAAGATTATTATTTCACTGATCACCAAAAATCTAGTAATAAATCAGATGCTCCAAGTAACAATAATAGACAAATACCAACGACTAATGGAAGAACTCATACTTCAGATGTAAGTGTAAATTTATTTTAATATCAAACTTACACTTTTTAGTTTTTTCTCAGTCTGGCTCATCTCTTTTTTCTATACATTGAGGGAATGTATTTTACTCTCAGATTCCGGAAACAAATGACTGTGAACATTTCAGCAGAAGCATCAAAATCAAAAGATTTTCTACATACATATTAGAAGCATAGAAATAAACAGTATATCCTTGGTGTGTAATTTGGCATTTTTTTTTTAATTCATTAAGGGAGTTAGTAAATCCACATTTAAGCCGCATTTTCAGCCACAGACTAAAAGAAGTTACAGAGGTAAATAATAATACAATTTTCATAAATGTTTTCACCAAGAACGAGCTGTAGTAAGCTTGATTAGAATTTGATTCTTGACATCATTTACATAGATGAACAAATAAAGGTTGTGGATTCTAATCTTTGTTGGTGCGTCTTGCAAGTTACTTTTCATTGTTCCATGAATCAACCTGTAGACGTAAACCTTCTGAACCTAAGATGTTATCTTTGTGAAAAAATTGTTATTTCTTTGTTGATACACAACAATTTTATATTCACTAATCCAACGACAAACTTTTAAATATTCCAACAGACTTGTTTATAAATGTATTTACCTGTTGTAGATGTGGTAGCATCATCATGTGTAAATTCATCACAAGTTAATGGTGGGCACACCTCAGATGAAAATACTTTCCAAAGAAAACCTCCAGTAATAAAACATGACCGAAAGTCAATATTTGCTTTCAATGGCAATATAAATGGTGATGAATCTGTTATAACCCAACAACCTACTGCTCGTTTGGTAAGTAAAAGTTTGGTTTTGATTACGATGGATTGTTGGCTTTGCTCGTTTATTTTCAGAGTGTAAAAACACTGCATGACATGAATCAAAATCGATACATGTATTCATTTCATTGTGTAAAAGCACTTTAATATGTATAGATATATATGTTTAAAAACTATATAATATAAAACAAAATGTGTATTATTTGCAGTGTGTAAGATTGGAAGAAAAAGAGAAATATAGACAGTTAATTCAACAGTTTACATCAATTCCTTTAGATACTAACAGAACAGTACAGCAAACAGAGAGTAAAAAACCAAAAACATCTATATTCCATAACACATCATTTTCTGAGGGACCTCACAGGTATACCCATAAATTTTACTAAAGTAACTGAATACATTGGTCTTTTTCATATTGAAGTGCATTGTCTTTTTCTTTGATTTCCATATTTTTCATTAAATATTGTAATTATTAATAATGCAATTCTTATGAAGTAATTGTATTCCACAAGAATTGTGTTATCTGTATTTAATCACCTTTACTAAATGCCATTCGAGAATTATTGTAATTATTGTTTACAGATTTAAGTCCAACAGTTTCTGTGAACACAAGCCTTCATCCAAATCATATTCCACAACTTCACTGAACGAGAGTCATAGTAAAAGATATAAACCTCAAGTTAAAAGTACAGATCCTCTAGTCATTTCATCATCATATTATTTAAAATCTCACCATAAATCAGCTGTTGATTTATTACAATCAGCACCTAGTCTCCCTATTATAGATACTTATAGTACTATACATATACCTGATGATTCAGTACTTCAATCAGGTAGGTATCTCGCTTTAAAATCATAAGAAGTATTGAAACAGTTCAAATGATTCTCAAAATGATTGAGTTTCTCATTATTACCATTGCAATTGAAGCAATATTTGGACTTTTCAAAGTTTCTAAAGATTGGCTTGAACAAGATATAACCTTGGTTCAAGAACAATGTATCAATTCAGCAACTCTCAGCAGTTTCTGTAAAGCTGTATCTTGGTTATTAATGGAATTATTCTTTGTATCTTTCACTGTGGACATTATACACTATGTCTTGTCCATATAATTCAAACAAACCCATGATAAAATATATTTATCTCAGTGTATCGTATTTTATTTTGTAGAAACCTCACCTAGAGATAAATTAAGATCACCAGAATTCAGAAGAAAAAGGTGAGTTCATTCATTGTTTCATTATATTTGATAGACTGCACTTGTTACTTTATACACATTTCAAGACTGGCTATGCTCAAATTAAGTGGAATATATATTAATATGAAATGTTTTTGTGTAGTTTCAGTGAACCACAATGTGAAATATTTGATCAGTTAGAAGAATCCTTATATCAAAAAGAAAATTGGTTAAAAGAATTGTAAGTTTAGCAAAAATCCTCTTATATTTATGATATTTGTTCATTTCAAAAGTAAATTGTTCAACATTATTTACATAATTTGTAGTAAAACAGTATCCACCATAGATAAAAAGGACAGATTACGCAAGATATCAGAAGCAGAAATCACAGCTAAAGTTCATCATGAATGGGTATGTAGTTATATTGAAATTAATGGCAGAAATATGACTGCAGATTTATATCTTCATGTGATTATTCATAATAAAATTATCATTACCATTGTCTCACAACTCTGGGGAACTGCACTAACAGGTCAAAGTTTTGTGCTTGGTGGGGTAGTTTCAGAAAAGTTACCCCCTAACCCTGTTGTGATCAATTTGTGGTTTAATTAATTTGTGGTTCATTGCAGAGAAGAAGAAAAGATGAACAGCTTGAGAAAAGTGTAAGTATTGTTATATTAGTTTTGAATTTTAAATTCAGCGTTATCACATGTACCTCATAAGAATTTTAAATCCTTTAAATCTTTACTTTTTATTACTTTATTATATGATATTTTTATTAATTGACAGTTACATGAACAGATGAAAGCTCTTGAACCTTTTACGGAAACTATAGTTATAGAAGATGAAGAGTCTACTCAAACACTACCAGGTTAGACTTGATTACAGTTTTCACAATTACACTTGCTAGACATTCCCCCAAGTTTTCAATTCTTACATACCATTGTTTCAAGGAAAAGTGATACAAATTTGGAAGTGTATAAAAATAAAACTAAAAAAGAATAAATAAGTGTTAAAATGATAAGATGGACTTTTGAAAGTAAAAGTTTTATCAATCAATAGGTTATGACAAATATGAAGCTGAAGTATTTATAAGAATATAACTAAGAGTTATTAATAAATTTATATAGGCTGATAGTGATGTTATATAGCTAAGATTATGTCATTATGTAACAGAGTATAAGATAATATTTATTAGTTACCTCATAAACCCCCTTATTATTGGCTTAATCAATGAACCCTTTAAAATTAATTAATCCCACCCCATTAATCAATGTCAGAGGGAGTGAGAGGGAAATCCCTAGAATTGCCATACTACATCCACCATTGACTTGTTGAATCTGTACTGAAATTGGATCTATTCTAAAATGACTATTGCAATTGATTTTGAATCTGGTAGGATATTGTGTTTTTTTTTGTTTGTGGGGAAATGAAATGAAATGAATGGGGTTTTACGTCCTACTTTTCTGTACCATGTGGGCTAATAAAGACGGGTTGTGTGTGGGGAATAGAACAGTGAATTAGTTCATAATTTCTATCTTACTGACATGTACATATGGTTTTTTTATATTTGAATTATAAGAAATAAATTGGTCCTTCTGGATAGCTACCTAAATTCTGCATTCATGGATTACAATTGATCAAATATGTTGAAATTTGATTGCTGATTGTTTAATTTGTATTCTGTAAAGGGAACAATAATGAGGTAGAGAAATCTTCAATAACAGATCTTCCCCTTTTGTTGTAATCTTAGCTCAAACCACAAACAATTTCCCTACAATTTCATCAAATGGGCATAGTCATGTTGAATTAAGCATTTTAAAAATGCTAATTACAAAGATAAAGAAATATGTAACTGATGAAATAGATTACTGAACAAGACAGTTCTGAAAGTAAAAATTTGAATCTGAACCCTTTGCGTTAGAGTATTTTGGTGAAATTGAATTGCTGTATGTTATATTTATAGAAATTACAGCTGATATGAAGGAAATTATTGAGAAAGCTTTACAATCTGGTCCAACACAAGCTGTATTATCAGAAGGATATAAATTACAGATATTAAAACAAGACATGTTAACACTAAAAGGTTTAAATTGGTTAAATGATGAGGTATTTATATTATACTACTATACACCTTGCCATTTTGCTCGAGGCCAGTTGAAGATAGCTGATCCTTGTTCGATCGGGCATGCAAATCTTTTCATATTTTAACCCATCTTGACCTATCAGTGATATAATTTGGATGGGTTGGCATGGTAAACACCAGTCAGTCAAATGGGACAATAAATGTTGGTCACATGTTACAGTCTGTGCTGTGCGTTAGTTAAAAATAAAAAACCTTTGTAATGCCCTCAAAAAATTGGTGTATTCAAGCTACGAAATGCTTAGACTTATTTCTGATTGCAGGTGATAAATTTCTATATGAATATGTTGATGGAAAGAGGAGAAAATGACAACATGCCAAAAGTTCATGCATTTAATACATTTTTCTACCCTAAATTAATGGGTGCTGGTCACTCAGCAGTACGACGGTGGACTAAACGTGTTGATGTATTAGCTGTAGATTATATTTTAATACCAGTACATCTGGGAATGCATTGGTGTTTAGCTGTAAGTAGAAATACATTTTTTCCTTGGCTGTGTGGTTGGTTTGTTCTCTGTTTGAACATCTCTATCTGGAGTTAGAGATGCTGTCTTAAGGCTGCATTCCATTGAATATGTCTTAAATGATCTAGGATAGCTGTTGTGTGGGCTTGTCGATTGTAAGGGTGAGATTATGTGAATGCATGTGAGTTTTGTCCTTGAACAATACTTTACTCATAGCCAAATACCTGAATTAAAGATTGCTGCTACAATATTTCAAATGGAATTTTATTGTGTCTCCTTCATCTACTTTATAGTTTATAGATTTCTTGTATATTCCAGATAATTGACTTCAGAAACAAATGTATCAAATATTATGATTCTATGGGTGGTAATAATAATAAATGTCTAAATGCTTTGAGGTAACTACTTTTTGTCCATTAAAATTAACTAAGCCTGTGATCTCTGTCTTACGAGGTTTACCAATGCTCCATACATTGAGAGAGCTTTTTCTCTACATTTTATCTGATTAACTTCTGCATTACAATGTTTAAATAGTGCTTAATACATCAATTGTAGAGTGATATATAATTTTATACTGTTTGCATTTTTGCAGTGTATTCATGGGTATATCTTATGACAAACATCATTCTATATTACAGACAATATTTATGTGAAGAAAGTTTAGATAAAAAGAAACAACAGTTTGATTTGTCAGGTTGGACTAGTGTTAATGTCAAGGTTTGTCCTAATATTATTTTTATGTATTATGTAAATTTATTTTAAAATGGACATCATGATTACTCAGTATATGTATAATCATTGTCTGAAGTTTCCAGATATAGAATGAGATATATTTCAGTGATATACTATTAAATTCTGACTTTATTACAGGACATCCCTCAACAAATGAATGGTAGTGATTGTGGTATGTTTGCCTGTAAATATGCTGAGTATATCACAAGAGGAGCTGAGATAACTTTCACACAGGTATGTGTATCAATATTAAAGTAAACTAACACTCATAGTTGTGAGAAGGGTATGTGTATCAATATTAAAGTTCACTAACTCTGAGTAGGGTATGCATATCAATATTAAAGTTTACTAACTCTGAGTAGTGGTTGGGAGGGTATGTGTATCAATATTAAAGTTTACTAACTCTCAGTAGTGGTTGGGAGGGTTTATGTATCAATATTAAAGTTTACTAACTCTCAGTAGTGGTTGGGAGGGTATGTGTATCAATATTAAAGTAAACTAACACTCATAGTTGTGAGAAGGGTATGTGTATCAATATTAAAGTTTACAAACTCTCAGTAGTGGTTGGGAGGGTATGTGTATCAATATTAAAGTTTACTAACTCTCAGTAGTGGTTGGGAGGGTTTATGTATCAATATTAAAGTAAACTAACACTCATAGTTGTGAGAAGGGTATGTGTATCAATATTAAAGTTTACTAACTCTCAGTAGTGGTTGGGAGGGTTTATGTATCAATATTAAAGTTTACTAACTCTCAGTAGTGGTTGGGAGGGTATGTGTATCAATATTAAAGTAAACTAACACTCATAGTTGTGAGAAGGGTATGTGTATCAATATTAAAGTAAACTAACACTCATAGTTGTGAGAAGGGTATGTTATCAATATTAAAGTTTACTAACTCTTGAGTAGTGGTCGGGAGGGTATGCGTATCAATATTAAAGTAAACTAACACTCATAGTTGTGAGAAGGGTATGTGTATCAATATTAAAGTTTACTAACTCTTGAGTAGTGGTTGGGAAGGTATGTGTATCAATATTAAAGTTTACTAACTCTCAGTAGTGGTTGGGAGGGTATGTGTATCAATATTAAAGTTTACTAACTCTCAGTAGTGGTTGGGAGGGTATGTGTATCAATATTAAAGTTTACTAACTCTTGAGTAGTGGTCGGGAAGGTATGTGTATCAATATTAAAGTTTACTAACTCTCAGTAGTGGTTGGGAGGGTATGTGTATCAATATTAAAGTTTACCAACTCTTGAGTAGTGGTTGGGAGGGTATGTGTATCGATATTAAAGTAAACTAACACTCATAGTTGTGAGAAGGGTATGTGTATCAATATTAAAGTAAACTAACACTCATAGTTGTGAGAAGGGTATGTTATCAATATTAAAGTTTACTAACTCTTGAGTAGTGGTCGGGAAGGTATGTGTGTCAATATTAAAGTAAACTAACACTCATAGTTGTGAGAAGGGTATGTGTATCAATATTAAAGTTTACTAACTCTTGAGTAGTGGTCGGGAAGGTATGTGTGTCAATATTCAAGTTGTGGGGACATGCAGACTGCAGTGTCAAATACCTACAGAATTATAGAAATGCCAAACAAGTAGTTTCAAGCATTATTGGATAATTAATAGGAATTAATTGGTTCCTGATTGATCACATTTTGACATTTATATTTACAATTACATTACCTTGTTTTATTATTGAAATCCTTGACTCCTGTGCAATGAGATTGAATATAAGGCCATACTGGTTTCAACCTGGTATGGATTTTATTGATATTGTTGTTTATCATCAATTACAGGATGATATGCCATATTTTAGAAGAAGAATGGTTTATGAAATAATGAAAAAGAAATTACTCCAATGATGATAAAATTTAGTTGGTTGGAGACTGAAGGTTATGCTTCAGTGGTTGAATTAAGTAACAGAATCCAGATCTGAGGGAAGTTGGTGACCTTTGTATCTTAGAAAGAATATAGGAAAGGCTAGTCTCAAATGTTGAGAATTGTATAAATAGTGAAGAAGGTGGTTCTAATGAACAGTCAATGTTATATATTTACCGGTAATTTATAATTAGTGCTAATTATATCATCTTGTATATTGATCAATCATGTTTTACATTTATATCATCACATTGAATAAATCTACCTTAAAATGACCATGAGTGTTAGTATTTTAACTGCTTATTTGTGATAAATATTTTTTCCATATTGATTTGGATTGTCATATGTATGTGCAATTATCAGTGTAGGATCAGAAACAATACACAACCTTGAAATTGACCCTTTTCCCTATCTTATATCCATTACCTTTGCATATCAGGAAAGATGAATGAAAATTGTAAATTAACCCACCATAATTCCATTCCCGATCACCATAAGGTTCAGTTCAAATTGACAGAAATCCATCACAAGAAACCATGCCTATTAATTGTGACTGCATCAGGTTCCCTTAAATGTCCTGAAGGAATAATATCTTTGCTGAACAATGGTTAAAGGGGTAGATATCAAAGACTCCTATTACTCTTGATAGAAGACTAGACATTAATGTGCTGTATGGATAATAGTTCTTGAACATTTAACTTAACATATTATAAAATGAATTAACATTCTACTTTTCTGCACCTAATATTGGGCTAAAGAAGACTGGCAACATCATGCAGTATGTAATGAGGGTTATTTTGTCAGGACAGAAGTATAATATTTGAAAATCATTTGATGACATTTTTTAATTAATAGTTATACAAATAAAAATGGTAAAATTTGGTATTAACCTTATAATTATATAGGTTACTTTTCTGCTCCATTTTGGTTTTCTGGATACAAAATTCATTTCATCAACCTACAGTATCATCTCATCATTGATACATAACACCAAATATTAACATCTTCCACGTTACACCAAATCAAGCACCAAGCCATAGCGTATTTTGAATCCATCTAAAAACGGGCCCTTCTTGGACTAGAAAATCACAATAGACATGTAGTGTGGTATAAACTATACTCAAGGTCTACGCTGTGGTCGAGAAACACTTGGTGGTCCTTGGAGTAATCTATGATGGAGATATTCAGGGGGAACATCACTGTAATAACTTTTAGAAACAGAACCAAGATTACTAGCACCAGAAACATTTTCAGATATAGGTGGTACCATTTGAGGAGTTGATGAAGATGGTGACATAAATTGTTGCTCATTCTGAGGATTAGACTGTTTTTTCTTAGAATAACCCATTGCATGATGTACGAGCTGTGCTGGAGGTGATGGTATGATGAGTGGTTGTGAAGCAGAAGATGTTTGTTGGGACATTAAAGATTGGGGAGTAATCTGTTGTTGCATATATTGCGATTGTAAAGGCTGCTGTAGGGTGGCCAGCTGATTGTCTGGTTGTACCATTTGTGGCCATTGAGACATGATATTATACTGGTCAACTTGCATTGGCATCTGTGCAGCATTGGAGGAAACTGGCCATTGGCTTGTGGACATCAAACCAGGAATATTCTGATTGTGTAGATATGAAGTGTCTGGTGTGGCTGGTGTTGATTTCAAGGATTTTGATGATGCTGGAGATTGAGAAACATCCAACTGACTGACTATTTCACCATAGTTAGGTAATGCATCTTTTACCATCTGCAAATATAAAAAAAAATTAGGATATAACTACAGAAGTTTCTTTACTTTCTATGACAACTTCTTCGGTTCAATCTGGCTTTAAAATTGAATTCAGTTACAGTGTATTTTGCATGTTTGCAATTATAATTCTATATATAAGTCAACATAATTTCTGTTATGTTATAAAAATATACCTACCTCTGGTGGCAATGTTTTAAGTCGATATTTTAATAAAGCTTGTGTCAAGGCGTTAGATACTTGTAATGCCATTTCAGCTTCATCTTCATTGGAAATCAAGGAATTGGACTGAAAGAAATACATTATAAGAGACAAACAAATGCCAGTATGAAGTAATCAAGAGATTAAAAAAGGTACTACTTCTATTTGGAACTTTCTGATTTACTGTAAGAAATGAACATTAGGATTTAATTGAATACTGATATTTGAATAAAGTTGAGTCAACTGAATGAAATCAGTGTATTTTTTTCATATTACACTTCACTCATATTTTAATTAGGTGAATATCTGATGGTCAACTTACCAAAGACTGCATTAAAACACTCATATCACTCATTCCTCCTGATCTCTATAAAATACACATTTATACTACTATTATTTACTTGTTTCCTGATCAATGTCAAAACATATAGTTTTATTGACAAGTAATTTAAACACCATGGGAAGTTTAAAACAACAATTACAGTGTCATTCACATTTTAGCATATATAATGTCCATGAAACAAGTCCTAAATCTGTGCTGGATCATTCAAGATGGAAGGAAAAGACAAACCCATGTGATGGAGTATAAGCATTTTTAGCATACCACAGGGTTGAAATAGGTCACTTACACTGGATTTCCTATCGGGATCTGGTTTCTTCATACTTAGAATATTCTGTAATCTATTCTGCACCTCCTTCTCAATTCTTTCTTCAATTAGCTTTTCTTCTCGCTGTCTTTCAGCTAATTCTTCTTCGTATGATTTAGATGGCAGAGGTGGAGCTTCTTGTGGAACAGGTGGTACTGGTGGATCATTTGGTAACTCAAGATAGCCACTGTATCTATCCGCAGAACTATCTTTGTAAGGAGGTCGGTAGTTGTTATGTCCTGAATAACTGTAGTCACTTTGGGAATTCTGAGATGGCTGTGTGCTGTCTTTATCCCATGAAGTGGATCTGTGAGATTGCTGTACACCGCCATTATCCCATGATCTGGATATGTGAGATTGCTGTGTGTCAGTATTATCCCATGATCTACCTTGACCATATTCACCTTCTGGACTTTGTAACAAAGGTTGACGTACTGGTCCACTAAATGGCAGATTCATTAATGGTTCTCTAGATACGGGTGGGTTCTTTAACAGAGGTTCTTTAAGTATTGGAAGATCTTTAAGTAGAGGTTCAGGATCCCTGCCTAATAATGGTGGATTTCTAATCAATGGTTCTTTGAACTTGGAGTAGCCGCCATATGTTCGATCCCTACTTTGGGGAAATTCATCAAGTAAGGGTTCTTCACTTTTAAGAAAGTCATCCATCAAAGATCTAGGAGCTTCCTTAGCATGACCATATTCCTTGACAATTAGTTCTGTACTGGGGTAACCATCATCTAAAAAGACAAGATAGATAAAATAGCCTGTACCAGAGTTTTGTTTTTGCAAGGTTTCTTTGTTTCTTCTTTTTCAACCACCACTAATGCACAAGAAGAATCAAAGGAAATTATTACAAGATCTGATAATTTTCGTTAGTAAGTCATCACTGAACTATCATTAGTACTTACTAGAGTGTTCACTGTAAGGATCCATTCTGTAAATGTCTTCTTTAGTAAGATAACCTTCTTGACTGAATCTATCTTTTTCTTCTTCTCTTTCACCTCTTCCATGTGGATATTCATCTCTTCTCATACCATCACTGACATAACGGTCTACACCAAACTGGTCATTGGTATACTGATCATTACAATACTTTTCATTGCTATCCGGGTCATATTGTTTATTACTATATTGATCACCACCATACTGTCCTGAACCATACTCTTCATTGCCATAATGGTCTTGGCCATATTGTTCATCACCATAATCTTCTCGGAAATCATTTGATGGTACTGCATCATGATGTCTTGATCCCTTCTTCATAGGTTCATTATAGCCACCATAATCACCATACCTAATCATACAGCCATCACATTTAAAAGTGTTGTAACAATATTATTAAACAACTGAATTAATTCAAGTGATAATCTTTATCATTCATTAGATTAATATATTCAAGGTTATGATCTTAACATCTCTTCTGCTGAGTGGTAAAAAATACAAACTTTCTTATATTCTATGAGTGCCCCTCGACCCAAATATAATGATGATAATATAATGATGATGATACAAAATGAAACCAATACTTACTCTTCACTTTGGTAATTTTCTGATTCTGAAAAGATAGAAAATAATTCACTGCTAGCAAAATCATTAACTATAATAAACCAATGAATTACAACTGTGTGTAAACTGAAAGGTTTCATGTGAATTTAGATTGGTGTAGATTGAGTGAAAACAATATAGAACACTAACCATCATAAGCTTCAAATTTATTTCTTTTTGCACCTAAAATGAAGAAACAAAACTTAAAAATTTTGATACATCCGGCTTTCACTCAATGTCAAATGATGTTTATATTATTCAATGCTTACTTACTTTTTGTGAATCAAATGCTATTGAAAACAGTTATTCAAATGAGCAAAAACACATCGGTAAGTTCGATGCCAAACTTATCTGCCTACCCCCAAGTTAACTATTTTACTGGTGATCTCATTATTGTTCAATACTAAATAACTCAAATTAACATCTTACCCTCAAGTTTATCACCAGCTGGACCTGGTCTTTTTAACAATGGAGGTCGTCTTGTAGTAAGTAGTGTCTCTGAAGCATAAATTTCTTCAACAAATTTCTCCTCTACACACATCTTAACAGCAGGTTCACCTTTTCCATCAATTTTCTCTATATCTGCAGTCAACTCGGCAATATACTGAGTCTGGTTCTTTTTACCACCATACTTCTTACAATGATCATGGAACTCAATATGATGTTCTTTCTGCAAATATATAATATGTTGGTTTTATATTTCAAGCAGGTTTATAACACAGAATATATAACTTCTTTGTAAAGGTCTCATTTGTATTCTTAGTTTTTTATAGCATTCCAAAAGCCATCTTTGACACACTTCAAGCCAATTCGATTACTTAAGTGACTATATCATGAAATAATAACTTCAGAAATTTACCAGTGAGTATATGTATATCAATTAAATAAAGCTCATTTTATGTGTTGTTTAATGACAGTTGGATGGGGTCTAAGGGATCAAAATTACTTCATCAAGCACCTATAGAATTATGAAATAACTGCTCACCATATAATTAAGCCGATGTCTACTTCCCAGTAAATGGGGAACAATGGTATGTTCATCACATTTGGATTCACATAAATTACAAACACAGTTAACTACTGCTTTAGCATCTTCTTTATGGAATTCAGTGACATAACTTAAACCTGAAATAAATAATAATCTATGACAATAAGCACAAATGAGATAAAATCTAGAATTTGATCATGTAACTGATTTTAAATCAATAATAGTAAAAAAATAAGTAAAACAATAATGGTCTTCTTACCAACAATAGGTTCTGTATTAATACTAGTTAGTTCTTTAGTTAAAGATTTTCTATTACATGGTACCAATGAAACATCAGTTCGTTTTACAGTAGATTTACCTACAAATATAGATACTCAGTAATTAGCCACAGGTATTGTTTTTCTACTGAGACATATTTTACTCTGAGATACTGATAGGGCCAGATTTGTCAGCCTTATTGGATCTCATTCTAGTTATTTACTGTCAGCTATTATCAAATAAGTTCAATTTTCACAAAGCTTTCATTTGAGGCAAAAATCATTGGAAACTCTGAAGTCCTACATATAACAATTAATCAGCATACGGCATGTAGTGTTATTAATTCATGTAGTATGTATGTAATGTATAATAATATTTTGTTTGAAAGATAAATGTTTCTTATATTTGTTAATCCAACTACAAGTGTATGACTGCTTATTGGCTACATCATTAGATTAAAATAATTAATTCATAAATTTATAGTACATGTATTAAAGATCCATATGGAGATTAATAGAATCAGCTAGGCTCAGCTAGGCACACCTTTATCAGCAAATTCTGTATTGAATAAATATCTTTTAAATATTACTTTACAAGAAACTATGACTGATATTAAATTTATTTTCATCTATGAATAAAGAAAAGCAGGAATGTTTCTAAAGTGACACAATTGTCTCCTCACAAACATTCTATGACTAGTTAGAATAACACCTTGTAGAATATTGTAAAATAAGCTTCTGATCATCGAAACATTATTTCATGAAAATAGCTTAAATGCAGAACAAATTCCTGAGCCAGTTTGAAATTGTCGATAAGTTTTTAAATCAATAGCAGGCAAATCCAGAATAAAATATCTGATAACTACAATTGAAGTCTATGATGAAAGGCATCATAGATATGGTTGTCTTAAGTGATGAAAAATTGAGTTGGTGGTTGGCTGGTAGATAACATTCGCTTTCAGCAGATGCTGATATCGCAAACTTGAGTATGGATTGAGAGTAGACAGACAGACATGGGTTGGCAACAATAGATGTATAAATTGATTATGTTAGGCTAGTTTAATCTTTATATTTATACTGAGTTATAATTATAAAGTTTAAACAACAGTGTAACCTATAGGTAAGTTTCAATTATCTGAAGCAATTTATCTTTCCGCTATTATCTAAATGGGCAGAACCATAACTGAGTGACTTTGCCATAGACAGGAACAAAAGATATTGATTTCCAATAATTTGACTAACTTTCTCTTTATGACTGAATAGTACCTGACCGTAAATAATAGTTCAGTACTACAGTAGTAAAAACTAAACATTTTGTTGTTAAAATTTCAATAAAAAAAACAGATGGCATAAGTAATGCTATATTTTACAAACCATGACAATTAGGGGAAAGGAACAAAGGAATTATTTCCTTACTGTTGTAAAAGGAGCTTGATTTTCTAATCAATGAGTTATACTTACATGAACTGTCTGAGATACTATAGCTTACCTGTCGTATAATAATTGTCTACATTCTGAAACGATAGAAACAATGGCTACAGTCAGTATGTACCAGTACTAGTTTTAGAAAGATTGATGATGTCAGCTAGATTGGAATATTTTATATTGTACCACACACCAATAGTATCAAGATGTATTGGGAATTTAACGTACCATTTTCATCTCCACCATTTTATAACCATACAGGAGCCAGGATCACATCCACAAAGTCCTTGTCTCCAATTCAGTGGGACAATTTTAGCACATGTCTGAGCAAAATTGTGTTTTGAAACTGTTTGATGAATCACAAATATAGCTGGTGTATTATATTATACTATATTAATATAGTCACACTAGTTTGTGTGTGTGTGTCTTTTCAACTAAAATCATACTAATAACTAACTAATTTTCACATAATTAATAAGCTTATCTATTGCTCTGTGACTTAGGCCAGTGCTTTCATTGAGACTCATCTCAATACATCCTAACACTGATTCTGTTTGATATCTTAATTTTACTTGAATTGATGTGTGTCAATACTTAAAAATAGGATTTGTCCATTTGTCTGCTATTGCAACACTTTCATCTTTTGTTCAAATAAGTGTCTTTTGGTGCATAATAATAGGAGCAGGAGCTTTCAGTTAAATACAGATTATATGATTTGACGTAATTGCTTTTTCACTATTACTAATTTCATACACTTCAGATTGTATATTACATAAATACTAAATAAGTAAATAGTAAATACTGGTAGGATATATGTTTTTCTCACTGAGAAAAAATTTAACCAAATATATGTGAATTGTTTCAATTTTTGTTTCGTGTGAATGTTTCAATTTAACAATTTGTGACAGAGGGATAAATCTTTTCTTGATTTAAAACAGCCATTACAGTATAAATAATTACACTGAGTCATGTGCATTGACATTCCAGAAATTCTTTTCCTTATCAGTTATTCCAGGGATATGATAAGCTCTTTCACCAACAAGATAAAGAAATTCACGTTATGTTGGTATTATATAGTACTCCTCATCATTTCCCTCGATTAACACAGGAGCTTACCACCATATTTATTTCATATTTATATTTGATTGGCCTTTAACTTTAACCACCAGTTGTACAGTTTGCCGTAATGTATGGTAATGTTTTTCAATTAATTCAGCTAATTACAAATGATAAGCGACAGAACTATATCATAATTTAATATTAACATAGACCTAGACCTTAATAATTGATTTTTTTTCAATATAAAACATGTTAGCTGCATTAGCAGCATGAAAATTGTATCTACAATACAGTGAGTTATCTACTAGTTAACTGATTTTCAATTTCCACTTCGTTTTTTGTAGCCGACTGAAGATTACTCATTGAATATACCTTGTTGAAATTATGCTAACCCATCAAAACACTGTAGATAATTCGAACAAAGCTTTTGATTGATTCATATGAAGTAAATGTGGTGATGCAGAGTGATGTGCTATGAACAAATGTGTCTGATTTTACAATCTTGAGTTTCCATAAAACACAAATAACCTAGGACAACTAAATAATGAAATTTTGATGGTAAGTAGTTTTTCATAGCTAGTGTATGTTTTACTATGAGCACAGATCAAACTAGAAATGGCTTTTATGAGTATTGTTCTATTGAAAACCCAAATAAACATAGTATCTTTATGGAATTCATCCCAAACTAAGTGAATTCTAATATCTTATAATTTGTTTATTTGATTAATTTTGGAAATACAGATTTGATTGGAAAAGCGGTACTGATTAATTAAGATATGTCTGTAATGTTGATTTTGTGTTCCTTTAGCATTGTGTGTCACAATAAATTTCATTCATTTATAATATAGCAGTGGTACAATGTAAATGGCCTCACCAGCCATGTGAAAAAAACTAGAAATAGAATGAGAATATACTATACTCACTGTAGAATGTTTATTGCCAGCTAAATGAGCCTGAAAACTCTGGGCACCAGTACATTTCACATTGCATAGCTAAAAATAAAAACAAACACCTAAGAGAAAATTCAAATAGGACCATGCTAAATCTTTTTATTAACCATCTTACTGGACTTTATTGTTTGACCCATTTTTCACAAACCCTTTGAATAACAAAATGTTCAAGCCATGGAAGAAGTTGGAAGCTCACAAATTGGTTTTATATTTAAAGAATCTAGTCAGAATTAATGATAATACATTTGATTACCTTACAATGGTAATCAGTATGAAATCGTTTCTTGCCACATTCTTCAGGATTGAGATCTCTCTCTTTAGGTGGTTTAATAACAGGCTCTAGGTTAGCCGTATCCAATAGTTCTTTTGATAACCCATATTTAGCTAAAGCAGGATCCTTATCATAAAAAAACTCTTGATCTTGTCCCTGATAGTTTCTATCATCACCATAACCATAGTCTTCTTTCTGGTTTACATTTGGTTTATGGTCAAATATACTCTTAAGTTTAATATTTTCAGTTCTGATCTTTGGGGTAGGAGTATTTTTCGGTTTTTGCTTTATGAAAGATTGTGAACTCCTGCCAGATGGTGTTGAGAAATCTTTAGAACTTTCTATAAAGAGAAAAGAACATTTTTATATTTAGTTGACACGACAACAGTTGCACAGCCTACATTTCTGCATTACCAGAAATTTTCAATTGTCTGGTTACAAGATTTTTTTCAAAAAATGGGAAACTGTATTAAGCTCTGTATATACATTTTCTTTTACACAAGTAATCTCTATTCCAAAACACTACTCAACTGATAACGTTTTTTTTGTCTAAGTTCACATCAACTATATCTCCATGCTTGGTGATTAAATAAAAATCATTCCAGATTGTGTCTACACTAACCGGGTTCTTCTTTACATTCTTTTTTGCCGTTTTCTACCTCCATAACTTTCTGTGTATGCATCAAACCTCTGGTGTGTTTAGTATAATTCTTAAAATATAAAATAGTCTTTATTTATCCAAATATATAGAGCTTGTTTACAATCTATCAAGTTTCATAAATTTTGTTAACCTACATGTGGTTTGTTGTATTTGTTTTTGCTCAAAACCATATCTTATCAGGGCTCTGTCTTAATTAGCATATTTCAGTAATTAAAAGTTCATTGACTGATAGCACAATCAAACACAATATACTTTTCTGAAGTGTTATCCATAATATTTTTGAAAAAACCTTCTAAAACAGTAGTTCTGGTTCATCCTTTTGTAGAAGAAAAATTGTAATCAAATTTAAATATGAGACTGACATGTACTTTGTTCATTACCATTTCAAAATAATTTACAGTTTGAAACATTCTACCCACTCTGTAATACTCCTAAAATTAGTGGCAAATAAAAACAATTACCTCAGATGATGTGAATTTAATCTTACAAAAAGAACAATAGTTGTCATCTTCCTCTGATGAGGATGATTTTTCTATTTCTAGTTGACCAGTGCTAGCTTTAACATTGCTATTAGTTGAAACTGCAGTAGTGGATGGTGATGACTTGGATATGGATGTGGAGGAACTGACCTGAATCAATTTTAAAGTTTGGTTCCCTTATTTTCTTTTTTATTTATATATTCCATTATTGGATGGCTAATACTTATATAAATTGAAAGCAGATTGGGAAAAATACCGGTTTGTCTCTTAAGTCAATAATTAACATGTAATTAGCTTCCTTGAGTGGCATTTAGTAATTGATGATATTAACACGAACACAATTATATGGATAACAATTACTTTAATAAATAACTTGCGACGTTTCGACGATGATTCTTTCGTCTTTATCAAGCAATGATACTTAATAAAGATTATCAGGTCTCACAATTTCCATAAGGGAGGTAACTCTATGTGTGTGACTTTTCACAGCCGAACATTACCAAAACAGCCAAATACCAACCGAAAATTTTTTGATTTCAATGGTTATGTTTCCAAAATATGGAAAAAGACGATGTTTTTTTTAATTTTCTAAATACCGGTATACAGAGTAAGCTTACTTAATTATATTATTTCTAACTTGCAAATATGTCTTTGAAACATGGTTTGGCTAATAATTTTTTAAAATGTGGCTGGATTATTACAATCTATTTTAGTCCGTGAGTAAACAAGGAATCTATTTTTAGCTTTTTCAATCAGATTTCAGTAAATTTGATCCCCAAGCTTTTCTACATCCTCACACAATCTTAGCACTCAAGAGTACAGGTACTTGAAATATTCGTTAGAAACATCAATTAATCAAACAAACAAGACAATAACTGATAATTATGGTTAAATTCTATCCATAAGCTGTTAATATTTAGATCTAAATAGCAAATATTTTTGGCGTTAATTAACAGCTGGATTTTTTTTTAGTTAATACTTTCAGATACATTTCTCTAGATTTTGGCGTAAGCTTATAGTTTTCACAAATTTAAGCAAACAATTTTTTCGACCTTCAAAATAAGCAGAATGTCCCTTTAAAGCATACCTTCAGAATACTTTTTGTTGGTGTTATACTACTTGAAGATGATTTGATGCTTGTGGTTGTTGTTGGTGGAGCAGCTGATTTAGACCGAGCACTTGAATCACCTAGAACATAGACCATAAAAAATGTTTTCATTATCCTTCTGAACAATCAATCTGACAGAAATATTTTCCCTGGCAGCAAATAAAATGTTAAAGATTCAAGTTTGCAGAAATTGAGATACAAAAAAATATTTGCAAAAGTTTCCTGATCTTATGCATAGCTTGGTCTTACCGTTATTCGATATAGGACTATTCAATTTAGTGTCAGCTGTTGATATATTTGGTGTCGGTAGTAATCCAGATTTGACTGCTAATGGTTTTGTTTTTTGACCTGCTGCTTCTTGTGTGGAATTTGATGATTCTGTTCCTCTCTTGTTGCCAACACCTGTGACAGTACCGCCAGTTTCGGCAGTGGATGTTTTTACACTTTTTAATAACGTTGAAGGTGAGCTACCAAGCAATGGACGAGGACTGGCATTGTTATTGTTACCAGAAAATCTTGGCTCATATTTATTATTTCTTGATGAAAATCGTGGCCTTGGTTGTCTATTGTCCTGTGAACCAGAGCCACCACGTCCCCATCCAGATCTGGGCCATCCTCCTACTCCTGAACCAACTTGCCAATGAGCATCTTGTCTATAGGGATCTGCACCAAACCTTGGCCCACCTCTACCAAAGCCCCCGAATCTAGACATTTGCTAAATTTGCCAATGAGTTTTTCGTTTAAATGATTACGTAAGCAGTAGGTTGAAGGTTTCTACTATTCTGTAATTTCTTTTGTTCTACTATTAGGAAGAGGTTATATTAAGATAAACACCAAAGCAGCCATTTTTTTAATCAAACATTACGGATTTTAATTGATACTGGAATTCAACATGTAAAATAGGTCTATTTGAGAAAAAAATCCAAATAAAACACCACATATTATAATCTTTTACACAATGTCAATAGACGCATTAAGTACACATTTCAGGTAAATTGTTTTTTTCTATAACCGAAGAAAACTTTTTAATTTCTATTCCGATGCTAATCCGTAAGAAAATTAGACTTAATTATTTGTAGTCTATTTTCCTCGCTTACATCACTCTATGCAGTCATAACTAGATTGTTTATAAAATAATGACTGACATTCCATAAAAAAGCTGTTTCATAATTTATTGCCTGATTTCCGGTAAAAACTGAAGGATAAAAAATCGTGAGGCTATCTTTAACTTTGTTTTCAAATAACCTAATTTCGTGGAAACCTATTATTCGTGGATTTCCGGAAATGATAAATAATTTACATGAGCGACGTTGCTCGACCTCCGCATTAGTTTGTTTTGATAAACATGGGTTTTCTCTACAAAATCAGCTAGTAGAATGAATCCAGTAGTTTCAAGCAAGGTAAAATGTATTAATGTATACTTTGACAATACAAAATGGCGGATTTCACTTATTACCAAACGTCACCATTTTTTATCGGCCGAATTTCCTTATAATCCCAAGCGGTAATCGGAATTCCAAGTGTCGTCTGCTAGAATGTAGTCCAACGAATGAGGTCACGTGATCAACTAGAATTCCTTGTCAGCAGAAAATTTCTATGGAACACAAAGTGGACCATATTCTTATGTTGTTTCAGTGACTTTTAGCAATAAATCACGCTACGTATCTTATTTTGTCAGTCACTATTTTTTTTTTTAAATCGTTGTTCTTTGAAGGAATTGTTACTAGTTATAATGAATTGATATTAAAGATAAATACTAAGAGAAGTTAATTATACCACCCGGTATCCATACAACGTGTTTTTCTAGACTTATTTATAGATCAAACATTGTACACGAAAACGAAACACGTTGCCGAGTTGGTTGCTCATGAAATATGGGTCAAAGTGAAGGATTCATGAAGAAAATCGAAATAAACCAATTTTTAATATTTTGTAGAATATCTGAGGAAACATCTGAGACATAACAAAAAAAAATCGTTTTTTTAACTTTGACGAAATTCGGTGTTGAATCCTTATATCGACGAAAATAGGTTACACCACTGTACTAGATATTGGATTGGGAAAGCCGGAGGGAAAGCCTGTTGAGTTGAGATTAATGATTATTGATGTCTCTGAAGCGGTGATTAGGCCTAGGCATGCTTGGCTATACACGGAAGGATTTGTCCATTACTATTAGGATAAATCTTAATTATCCTATGTCTGAGCAAATCAAATTTTTTTTTTTGAATATTAGCCTCAAAATAGTAGTCTACCGGTACTGATAGTATTAGAATGTCTTTGCGTTGATAAAAAGTATGCTCTTTTGTTAGTTTACATTGTAAAGAAACTCATTTCCCTCCTTCAACATGTAATAATCAAATAGGGGTAATCACGGGTGGTAGCCATTAATCTGTAATCTTTAACACTTTTTATTAACATCGGTGTGGTGTTTAGGTAAGTAATTAGAAACAGATGGTAGTATACAAAGGAGACCTATCCCATGTCGGCAATTTTCAACAATTAATGTTAGAGTTACGAGCCCAAGGCTTACCACAACAAGTTCGCAATTTTTCTGGTGAGGGTGGTAAAAGGTTTTCTGAGTGGATTAGGGATATTGGAAAGGCAGGCGTCTCGGTTAGTGCCAATGATTCAAGGTTAGTTGGACTCGCTCTACAGACATCTACGGGGTTAGCAGGCAATTTCGTATTACGGCATATTAAAGCAAATCCTAATATTTCTTCGCGCGATTTAAAGGCTATTTTGTCGGCTCGCTTTAGTGATCATTCTGACCAACAGTTTACTCTACAAAAGTTGCGCAGGGCCAAGCAGAGTCATGGTGAATCGGTACAGGCATTTGGTGATAAATTAATTAATTTGGCGGATGATGCTTATAATTTATTGCATACCCTTTCATTCAGTCGCATTTGGTTGACGTTTTTGTAGATGGGTTAATAGAGGACAGTGTAGCTCGAAGGTTAATTCGTAATCGCCCTGAAACAATTGATGCTGCTTTGAGGACGGCCTCCTTTGAACAACAAGTCTCCCGCACATTCAACATTCGTAGGAATCGAGAAGAAACCCCAATGGAAGTCGATGTCCCAAGTTGACAATGTAAAACTCCTGACGGACAAAATGGATCAGATATTAGCACTATCTAAAAAGGTCGACTCACCTTTCGACGGTTCCCAGCCCAGAGTTCCGGACTATTCAGGTGCTAGCAATAATGTTCAAAATTATCACCACCAGCAGACAACTTCTTTCAGGCCTCGTTTTCAGGAGCATTTTCCTAACCAACCCCAACGCCCACCCCCTCGAGGATCTTATCAATACACCTCAGACGGTCGACCTATTTGTTTTAAGTGTCATACCCCCGGCCATGTTCAGAGATACTGTCGACGTATGCAATCATCCTTTAACCCTTCAAAAAACTAGTTCAACCCAGGAATGTCACGGTAACTGAAAAGACAAACCTGGGTAATAATAAACCATTAGTAGGCAATACTTATTGTGCTATTAATATGTCCAAATGTTTACTGTACGCTCTAAATGATTCCGGCGCTGAATGCTCTGCTATTGACTATACAACATTCCTAAAACTTCCAAAAGACAACTTATCCAACTTCATTACTGATAGGGACAAATTGCATAAAATGGTCGGCGTCACAGGGACATCCTTAAATGTCAAAGGTAAATGTACGTTACGATTTAAGTTAGGCCAAACCAACATTAAGTACGAATTTCATATAATACAAAATTTAGGCAGAGATATGATTCTAGGGAACGATTTTTTTCAAACTTTCGGTATTATAATGGATTATAATTGTCACACCATACGTTTAGATAATGAAATTATTCCATTGTATTCTCGATCAAAAACTGGGCAATATAAAACAGTGAAATTACTGCACATCCGGAAGTCTACGCATGTCCCACCAAACTCATCTAATATTTTAGAACTTAAAATTCCGCATTATATGAAAGGAAAATGCATATTATTTTCACCAATCGATACGTGTAAAACCTTATTTGATCAACCCGGCCTATTAATATCCAGCAGTATTCATTGTCCCACAAAAAACAAGTGTTCATGTGGAATTAATTGACGAAACTGGCTCCTCCTTTAGAATTAACCATAAACAGATTTTGGCAGTCGCGGAAGTAATCTCACCTAATAGCATTGTTAACGACCAAAGGTCATCCGTTTGTTCAATTAATAAAGAGGAACGCCCACTTACTTCAGACTTCTCAGCGGTGTTTGATTGTAAACAACTGGAGCACATCGAACCGGGTGCACGCTATCACCTAACATCTTTCTTGAGGCAACACGCTGATATCTTCGCCGCTAATGACCTGTCACTTGGAAAGTGTGATATAGTTAAAGTTAAATTGGACACAGGCACAAATCCACCTGTTCGGTTAAGGCCTTATCGCATTCCATTACTTCAAAAAGCATTAGTGGATAAACAAATTAATGATATGTTAGAAGCAGGTATAATTCGTTCAAGTAATAGCGAATACTCTTCACCGATAGTTCTTAAACCGAAACCAGATAAATCGTACCGCTTTTGCGTAGATTGAACTGTCAATTGACCAAAAATTCTTACCCCCTCCCAAACATGGATGACTTAATTTCGTCTTTAGGTGACTGTGAATTCTTCACGTGCTTAGATTTTAAAGAATGGCTTCTGGCAGCTCGAGATGGACGAACATTCCAAACACCAAAATATGTAATAGCCCGGCAGTTTTTCAAACGACTTTGATTCCGACGATGAGCATGATGAACGCACAGCCAGACTGGAATTGACGTTTCCCGGCAAAATTCAATCAGAAGACCCGGAGATCCGCAAATTACGCAAAGCTTTAGCATTTGGAACAGACGACAAATCCCTAGACGAGTATGTTCTCTTATCCGGCGTTGTTTATCACATATCCCGACCAGTTCAAAATGATAAAACCCAACGGCTGCAATTAGTAATCCCTGATTCTTTCAAAGTAAAAATTTTACAAGATTTTAACGAATCACCATTTGGATCTCATACCGGCATTGATAAGCTTGACGATAAAGTTCGGAGTAGATATTTCTGGAAAAACATGTACAAAGATGTTGTCACTTTCATTCAAACTTTTGTCAAATGTACCACCCGGAAGTTAAAAAAGCAGAGAGCCGAAATTCAAGAAATGCCTAAACCGGTATACCCTTTCGAAATAATCGGAATTGACCATGTTGGCCCGTTAACAGTTTCAGATAATGGCAATAGATATATTTTGTCTATTGTTGATCATTTTAGTACATGGGTCGAATTGTTTCCTCTGCCTAATAAGACTACAGAATTAGTTGCAAAAGTATTATTAACAGAAATTATTCCCCGCTATGGTTGTCCTAAGCTGATAATTAATGATCGTGGCATGGAATATAACTCAAATGTGTTAAAACAATTAACAAAGCAATTAAATATTAACAATATCAAAACCAGTAGTTACCATCCGGCATCAAATGGAAAAACAGAAAACATTCACGGCTTTTTAAACAATAGTTTGGCAAAATTAATTCGAGATGATCAGCGTGACTGGGATGATTATCTTCCCGACATTTGCATGGCATACCGATCATCTGTCCACGGTAGTTCTAAATATTCTCCATTTTTTCTCAATTTCGGGAGAGACGTGTGCTTACCGATGGATACACTTTTAGGTCCCAAACTAAAATATTTCGGAGAAGATTATGTCCCAACTACCCTTTCTCGCTTAAATGAAGCTTATGTCAACGTCAAAGACAATTTAGAAGAAAGTCGACGTAAACATAGGGAATATTTCAATACCAAATGTAAACAAACAAAATTTGAAGTAGGTGATCCAGTTTATTATTATGATCCTACAACTAAATTAAACCATTCTCGAAAATTAACGACTCATTGGAAACCTTATTATCGCATAATAGAACAATTCTCACCGGTCAACTTTCGAATCAAACACCAATTAACTGGCAATACAAAAAAGGTTCATGTGGAACATTTACGTTTGGCTAATCCAAATATTTCTTGGGACGAAGAGCGTGGGGACCCCAAACATATTCTCGACAAAGTCCAGCAGAATATCGACGATCAGGGTCATAGACAACAACCTCTCCGTGCTACTCGAACCTTACCACGTCCTCAGGTTGTTAATCCTACTATGCCATTAGCGGATTCAGTTGACTCAGACTCGGAATTCGACTCTGAAGATGATATGCCTTTAGCCCGCGTTCAACATGCTTTGGGTATTCAGACTGAACCACAACCGTATACTTACGCTTACGTTCCTCCGATTGATTATGATACCTCGGATTCCGAAGATTCTTTTTATATTTCGTAGTGTCACTAAGTATGTTGTTTACTCTACATGGTAGAGACATGAAACATATATTGTTTTACTCTACAGCGTAGAGAAATGAAATATAAACGTTACTAATTTCGGCCAGTTGTTCTAGGTGTTCAACTTTGGTTATCCGGAAGTTACGTTTGCGTTGGTAACTTTAAACCGCCATATCGTAGGATTAGGTGTGTATTATGAGGGTCTATTAACTAGGTGTTAATTACCATAGATTATTTCTTTTTACTGATATCCGCTGCTTTCTTTCGGTGATTCTACCATAAAATCTCAGTTGGCCTTATTGTGTGGTCCAATTTTTGAGTAGGTTGTATAGTGGTTTTGTTAGTACTTAAATAGGAGTTGTATAGAGTGGTTACGTTGTATATATAGTTTTGTTTTAGTTCTTCTTCTCTACAGTACCTGAATTATATACTTTCAGGTATGGATCGACAGTTAGCCTTGTGGTGTCCCATTTTCTTGTTACTTTTAATCCCTCTAGCCATGGAAAACAACGTTCAGTTCGTTCTGCAAAATCGGTTTTACGCATCATACAGTACCTGGCTACTAAATTTTAATATTGATTTGGCTCCGTTGACCCGGCCTCTCCAACAATTAGAAGCTTCCATCAACCTTTTCGGAAAATCCAAAGATAGTTTAGTATTACCAAATCCCCAAAAATGAAAAAATTAAACAGTTTCGGGCCTTAAACGACAACTTAGTCAAAATTTTAAACACAGAATATGATCAATTGCGCACAAAATTTTCCAAACTTGAATCCCATTTTAATAACTTTAAATTTCAAGTCACCACCTCTTCTAAACCTGGTCGTTCTAAACGTAGCTTGTTGCCCCTTGGTGCAGTTCTTTCCTTTCTCTTTGGTACAGTTAGCGAGGACACAGTAGATAAGATTAGAGACAAGGTTGATTCTTTAAAGGCGTCACAACAAAAAATTGTACATGTTATCGAAAACGGCTTGACCATCTTAAATACTACAGTCAAGAATGTTGCATTAAATAGGCACTCTATTAATCTTTTAGTCAACTCCGCTAATACTTTATCTCAATGGATCTCCCAACTATATTCAAATATTCGAGACGGCTTAGAACCTCAAATTCATTTTGTTGAGCTTTCCCAACAGTTATCTGGTGTGTTTCACATTCTTCATTCCACGTTCCATGATGTTCATCAGTCAATTTTAGATTTGCATAGTCAGATTATGGAAGCTATTCAGGGTCACTTGTCGACAAACTTAATCTCAACTGTTCAATTATTTTTGGCCTTGGAAGAAGTGCAGCAGCAAATTCCTACTTCCTTAGAACTTCCCTTTCCCTTGATCAAACATAACCTCCGCAAATATTTTTCTCTCCTCCGCGTCACCTTAGTACCCAGCTAAAATTCTTTTAATATCTTAATCCTCATTCCCCTTGTCCAAAAATCCTCAATCTTTGAATTATATCACATTGTCCACGTTCCATCTCGCATCAATCACAATACTTCTTTAACATATGACATTTCCCATTCACATTTTGCTATTTCCCCAGACCGAAACGTTTACATGCTTCTCCATGACCATGAGGTCACCTTTTGCAAACAGCCGCTTTCTCATTTTGCACTTTTGATAAGCCCGTAATGTCTACAAATTTTGCTCATTCATGTATTCCGTCTCTCTTTTTGCATAGTGCAAAATTAGTGCGCCACACTTGTAAGGTTATCTTTTCACACCCCCCACCTTATCCCATAGTTAAAACGAAATTGGCTCCTTTTTTAGTCCCATTCAAACGTCCTTGGATCTTGTTTGCTTTGATCCGTCCAAAAATTTGATGAATAATATACCTATTACCCAGGGAGTTAATATTATCAACATGCCAGTCAGTTGCTCCGGCCACAATCCCGCTTTTTCCATACCTCATTATTTACAAGCAGAAAGTCGCTATCAAATTCGCCAATCAAATTACGAGTTACTGGATCTCTCCCAATATTTGTTCAATTTAACACTTAAACAATTTCCAAATTCCACAGCTCTTTCTAGAAAAACCTTACTCAAGACCCTTCCTAAATTCACCATCCAAGACAAGAGTCTACACCATTTACTTTCAGAAATTCAGGACATCAAATATTCCAATCCCATGATGAATAATCCTTTTACAATGAAAGCTCATTGGCTATATAACTTTCTCTTCTCCCTTATCGCCTTACTCGTCCTCTTATTCTCTTCCTATTTTTTCTATAATAAATGTATCAGACCTCGACGGACATTGAAAAATCTAAAACGGCAAATAGTGCAGTCATCGAATACCACTCAATTAGCAACAACTTATTCGGCAGTGTTACCAGTTCCAAAGAAACACCAGAAAGCTTCCCCAGAAGATATCCCACCCAGATTACCTCAACGAAATCCCGTTTCCGAACCTGAAGACGACGACCCTTACCGAGCACCAATGTTTACCCACACCATTGAATTAATCGCCTAATCTACCACATAGCGTCCTCCAGCGAACCTATCCAGATTTCCAGAAGATACCTACCAATGCTCACGTGTGTGTTATTTTGGAAATAGGTGTTGATCGGTCATCAACATGTGTGCCACGTGTGTGTTTGTTTTTTTTTTTCAGCGCTAAGACATTTCCGGAAGGACAAACAATTTCTACAAAAAAAAAAAATTTTTTCCGATCTGCATGAGCATGTTCCTAGATTTTGTTGTTTTATTTTTCTCCTGTTCGCTTTTTGTGGTATATTGTAATTTTTTTTATTTTTATTTATTTTTGTTTTTTTTTTGTTGTTGTTTTGCTTTTAATTTTTTTTTTGGGTTGTTCATGAAAATCATATTTATGTATTTTCTAGATTAAGGGGGATACTTATGCAATATTGCTAATCGTTGTAAGAGATTTACATTAGTCCAGAAGTAAACTATAGGGAATCACGGGGGGTAGCCTTCAACATGTAATAATCAAATAGGGGTAATCACGGGTGGTAGCCTTTAATCTGTAATCTTTAACACTTTTAAATTAACATCGGTGTGGTGCTTAGGTAAGTAATTAGAAAGAGATGGTAGTATACAAAGGAGACCTATCCCATGTCGGCAGGGAAGGAGACACTGAGAGATTAAGAAACTATAGGGGTATAGAAAAGGAATCGGTCAGGCATGGCAATTAGGGTTAAGGAACAGCAAAAGAAATATTTCATATGTTGGCCATCTTGGGGGGAGAGATAAATAGGAGTGTAGTTAGGGTTTGGGTTATTCATTTTTTAGCTGGGGAGAAGATCGGATCGTTCTAATATTCTAAGAGTCTTGGGTATACTTCTTGGATTAGTGTAGATCTCCCGTTATTGAATGTAAATAAAGTGTTGTTAATATCTTAGCTGTTATCTCATTTGGAAAGTAAATTCATAGCCGATAGAAGTCCGTATCCAGTCTCTTACCAGACTATACAGTTGGTAAGAATAATCTACTTTGCAGTTTGCAAGTAGAACCCAACAAACAAGCCTGCCAACAAGCAGCTTGTCTACATCGATTCTATTGGTCTGGGTATGTGTACGGGTTTTTTTTTTTTTTTATTGACTTTAACCTTCATGGGAAAATCTATTTCAATCAGACATCTACCTCGAAAAGTAAACGCTTCCGTTTCGTCGATATCGAATACGTTTTTAGGTTCTCCATCTACGCGAGAAGCTACTTTTATTTCTACTTTGAATCCATATTTGTTTGATTTATATCTTTTCTATCGAAGACAGTATCAGTTTCGAATGGAAGATTGAAATAATACGACTTGTCCGTGACAATAGCTTCTAATTTGGTCAACTTTCTCTCTTGCCTCAAAAAATCGTCATCAATTCTAGATACCAAAAGACTGACTTGTTCTTTAATATATTTTTTGATATCATCTTGAAATTTATTTTGAAGAAAGTTTTTAATCACACCCACTTCTTTTTCTAATTCGTCCGTGATTTTAGTATCCAAATCAGTCAATTGTCGTTTCAACGTATCTTTGTCAATGGGATGTGTGAGATTATTAATTATATTTTGAACATCTGATTTTTGCTTCGCGAACTTTTCGTTCAATTTGAATATTGAATTTTGTAACTCAGTTTTGTCCACGGTCTTGTCTAGTTCTCCTAGCAATCCGCTGTTTTCGCCAAGTTTTCTTTCTATAGCGGTTAGTTTTCGTTTCAATCTATCCTCGTTTACATTTGGGTTATCTATTAAACGTTGGACGTCTATTTTTACCTTCGTAATCTTATCGTCTAAGTTAGATATTAAATTTTGCAACTGACTTGTTTTATCCACTTGAATAAGACGTTTCAAACTCGTTAACTCATGTTGTAGTTTGGGTTCATCCACATAATTTTTAATATTTCGTCTGAAGTATCTTTTCACGTCAGTTATTCTATTTTCAATATGGTCCTTATCTATTTGAATTGCGTTTATTTGATCCAGTAAATATTTCTTGTTCACGGCATCGTTATCGTTTCCTGGAAACTTTAAATTAGTTATTTTGAAATTGTTCATATCGATATCCCCTTGTAAGGTGTCTCCGCAAAAAAAGGTTTCGCTTTGTTTATAAACGCCGTAGAACTCATGGGATTTTTAGATTCTAGAGATAAAGACCCTAATCAAAACTTGTTTGCCATTTTTATTGAGTTAAATTTATTATAATTTCTTCAAACTTTTCTCCCAAACTCAACCGATATAAAACCCAAAGCGACAGCTGTCCACACAGCTTTTGTCCTGGCATTTGAATTTGAAACGTAGAACATTTAATTGGTTTGCTAGTCAATTTCGTTATCTCTTCTGTCGGTTCTAGACCGAAAGAATCAAAGAAATAAAAATTATTCGAAGAATCTTTGTGTAAAGCAGAGTGATGAACTCCTTTTTGATCCGACGTATGAATGTTTGTGATGGCGTAAAATTTACCTTTCTTGTATTTCAGTTCATCAATTTCATCTCGAATGCAATAATAAAACGGCGAGACGTTCAACTCCTTTGCCCATTTCACAAGTTGAAAGTTTGTGGTCGTGTCTTTTCAGTATTTATCGAGAAATGCATTCATTTTTAAAAGTCAGTTTTTTTGAAGTTGATAAAACCTTTCTGAAATAATGATTTTTGTATTAAAGTTAAATCCCGAGATATCAAAAATATTTTGAGGTGTTATGTTTTTCGAATTCTTTCGGAGTATGCGCTAAGTATTGTTGAAGACCCAATTGACGAAATATATACGTAGTTTATGTTTGAAAAACTTGTATAACATTCTGATAAAACACATTCAATAATATTTTGAAGATAAATTTACATTTGAATTTTAAAAATTTTAATCTAAGAAAGCGTAAATGCTTGTCGACATCTAAATTTCCTAACCTTTCATCTAAATCTTCATTTTCGAGAAATGCATTCATTTTTAAAAGTCAGTTTTTGTTCTTTGTCTTGATCGATCAATTCATACGTGGGAGGTGATGTGCTATTTATTTTATCAACAATAAATATCTCGTTAGTCCAATACCCGACGTAACCTTTCTGAAACAATGATTTATATTTAAAAATACGAACTCGATCTCCAACTTTGAATTTGGGTTTAATATTCAAATTGCTAATCTCGTTTTCAAAGTTGTTTCGAGTGTTGATGGACTTTATGATATTCGGGTTATTCGAGGCTTGCGTTGGCGTCACACCTATAGACGAATGTATTTTGTTATTGTATTCGTCGACAATAACTGGTAATATTTTAAGCCATTTTTGAGATTTCAAATCCGTGAATTTCTTGAATAATTTGCTTTTAAGAGTCCTGTTGAATCTTTCTATCACTACGGCCTTACCTTCGTTATGCGTGCTGTAAATTCCAAACCCCAGAGATTTCACATTTCTGTTGTAGAATTCGCTTCCTTTATCAACCCACAACTTTGGGGGTCGTCTGTCGGATTGTTTCATAATGGTTTCGAATGCTTGTTTGACAGTCAGACCCGATTTGTTTTTCAAGGGAAAGACCCAAACGTATCTCGTGTATATGTCGATCGCCGTCAAACAATACTTGTACCCTCTCTCGACTGGCATGTTGATTAAATCGGCTGACCAAATTTCATCTTTATCAAAAACTTTGACTTTCGTCTGCTATGCCCATACCCAATTTCAATTTTACCTTCAAGAGTTTTATGATAAGAGCCCTTTGTAATTTCTCTTTGAAAGTGGGATTGGGAATATTTTCAAGTTCGTGTATCATTTGTTTGTCTGCTTGGTGTCTGAATGTTATGTCTTTGTTTCTGTACAGTATGTCATGTTTGAGCGCTGCTGCGTCAACTCTATTAACGGGTTCTTCCCCTGGTTTATCATTTTCGTCAAAATGCAGATCTAATCTCGTGCCTGGACACCTATAATTGTACCCTGGGAGATGTTTTTCTCCGGGATATTTTGACCATGGGAATCCAGGAAGAGAACCCAATGACTTTTGAATGTCTCCCGCACCGAAATACGTTTAAGGAGGATGGACATTTATTAAAGACATATTTGTTCAATAATGAAATAAACACCATATATTTTTAATACGGAAGATTTAATACAGGAGAAAACTATTCAAGCCATAGAAATGAATCACTTTATGAAATGTCACGAGCGATCCTAATAAGAGCGGTCATATAAGAGTGGTTTGAAAAATGAGGTCACGAGCGATCCTAATAAGAGCGGTCATAGTTATCTCCCGTCTTACACTATTGTCAGTCATAATTTAAAGGTCACGACCGCTCTTATTAGGATCGCTAGATATGCGTCATCCTTTGTTCTTCACCACTTGTTCTATTTTCGAAAATCTGTATCAACAATGTTGAAACCTTGGATATTTGTCACAGAGTTTGGTAAAAATTCTTGGCCTTTTTCTATCCCCTTACCGATGGTTTAAATATTCTTCGTGATATGAAATGTTGGCATCTATTAAACTTGTGACTGGAATAAAACAAAATCCAGAATTAAAATAAAAGTTAAATCAAACAAAAAGAACATACCTTGATTTTGTATGATTAAATTCCTAATCTTCAACAAAAATTGAGACACTGCTAACAGTTGAGAGTCTAGACTGTCTGTGCTGACGTTGCACGCGTGATATGTTAATTATAGCGAGACATATATCCAGTCAACAATAGAGGAGTGATTGTTACTAGGCATTAAAGGTATTTATTAAAGATAATTTTAGGTAATTCCAAAAGTAGCTAGCTTTGTTTCAAACAACAAATCACTTATTTCATCCGAAGCGAAAGCCATAGGATCTGTTGCGGAAGCCGGAAAGAGTATTAGCGAGGCAGTAAGGCTAATTAAAAACAGTTAGGGAAAAAAATGGGAATTTCTTGTTGCAAGGGACTGCTGCACGAAATGTGCTCATAATCAAATAAATTTTTATCTTGAAAAGTTACAAAGCTACAAAGCTGAAATTTTGCACGCATATCCACATGGATAATCTAGACATTTAGAAAAAACAGAGCTCAAAAATCTCCCATAGGGAAAAAGTTAGCTCAGGAAAAGTTGCCGATATTCTGCTCTTATGGAGGGTAAACGTCCAATACCTAACTTTGCCAAATAAGCCCATTTGGCCCATGTTTTGGACTTTTCCTACTAATTAGACCCCAAGGACTAGGAAAAACACTTAAAACCTAATTAAAAACAATTAGGGTAAAAAATGGGAAATTCTTGTTGCAAGGGACTGCTGCATGAAATGTGCTCATAATCAAATAAATTTTTATCTTGAAAAGTTACAAAGCTACAAAACTGAAATATTCCACGCATATCCACATGGATAATCTAGACATTTAGAAAAAAACTGAGCTCAAAAATCTTCCATAGGGAAAAAGTTAGCTCAGGAAAAGTTGCCGATATTCTGCTCTTATAGGCCATATGGAGGGTAAACGTCCAATACCTAACTTTGCCAAATAAGCCGATTTGGCCCATATTTTGGACTTTTCCTACTAATTAGACCCCAAGGACTAGGAAAAACACTTAAAACCTAATTAAAAACAATTAGGGAAAAAAATGGGAATTTCTTGTTGCAAGGGACTGCTGCACGAAATGTGCTCATAATCAAATAAATTTTTATCTTGAAAAGTTACAAAGCTACAAAGCTCAAATTTTGCACGCATATCCACATGCATAATCTAGACATTTAGAAAAAAAACTGAGCTCAAAAATCTCCCATAGGGGAAAAAGTTAGCTCAGGAAAAGTTGCCGATATTCTGCTCTTATAGGCCATATGGAGGGTAAACGTCCAATACCTAACTTTGCCAAATAAGCCGATTTGGCCCATGTTTTGGACTTTTCCTACTAATTAGACCCCAAGGACTAGGAAAAACACTTAAAACCTAATTAAAAACAATTAGGGGAAAAAATGGGAAATTCTTGTTGCAAGGGACTGCTGCATGAAATGTGCTCATAATCAAATAAATTTTTATCTTGAAAAGTTACAAAGCTACAAAACTGAAATATTCCACGCATATCCACATGGATAATCTAGACATTTAGAAAAAAACTGAGCTCAAAAATCTTCCATAGGGAAAAAGTTAGCTCAGGAAAAGTTGCCGATATTCTGCTCTTATAGGCCATATGGAGGGTAAACGTCCAATACCTAACTTTGCCAAATAAGCCGATTTGGCCCATATTTTGGACTTTTCCCACTAATTAGACCCCAAGGACTAGGAAAAACACTTAAAACCTAATTAAAAACAATTAGGGAAAAAAATGGGAATTTCTTGTTGCAAGGGACTGCTGCACGAAATGTGCTCATAATCAAATAAATTTTTATCTTGAAAAGTTACAAAGCTACAAAGCTGAAATTTGGCACGCATATCCACATGCATAATCTAGACATTTAGAAAAAAACTGAGCTCAAAAATCTCCCATAGGGGAAAAAGTTAGCTCAGGAAAAGTTGCCGATATTCTGCTCTTATAGGCCATATGGAGGGTAAACGTCCAATACCTAACTTTGCCAAATAAGCCGATTTGGCCCATGTTTTGGACTTTTCCTACTAATTAGACCCCAAGGACTAGGAAAAACACTTAAAACCTAATTAAAAACAATTAGGGGAAAAAATGGGAATTTCTTGTTGCAAGGGACTGCTGCACGAAATGTGCTCATAATCAAATAAATTTTTATCTTGAAAAGTTACAAAGCTACAAAGCTGAAATTTGGCACGCATATCCACATGCATAACCTAGACATTTAGAAAAAAACTGAGCTCAAAAATCTCCCATAGGGAAAAAGTTAGCTCAGGAAAAGTTGCCGATATTCTGCTCTTATAGGCCATATGGAGGGTAAACGTCCAATACCTAACTTTGCCAAATAAGCCGATTTGGCCCATGTTTTGGACTTTTCCTACTAATTAGACCCCAAGGACTAGGAAAAACACTTAAAACCTAATTAAAAACAATTAGGGAAAAAAATGGGAATTTCTTGTTGCAAGGGACTGCTGTATTAAATGTGCTCATAATCAAATAAATTTTATCTGAAAAGT